AAAATGCTTTTACTAAAATTTTATAATCACTATGCTTCTATCACTATGTATCTATCTATCACTATGTTCTGGTCTGAAGTCACACTCATAACTTCATTCAATGCCCAAGACATGAAAAGCTTAAAGTTCTGATGGATAAAAGAGGATAGAGTTTCCACTCTTGAAACAGCCATTCACCATTTTAAGGTTGCTTGAACCTTGGTTGAATTTTGAAACAATAAGGACTGGAAGATGAAAAGGCCACTAAACTTCACATGCAAGTTTAGTGGCTTTTTCTGTTATGTTTGGGCTTGTTAGATCCGTCTTTATGAGAACAACAACATATTGAGACAACACTAAAAAGTAAAAAAGAAAAATGTAATAAAAAAGTATTTTCTTAAAATTTTAAATATTTTTTTTCTCTAACAGTAATTGACTTGAAAAGCTTCTAGAGCTAATGTTATCGTAGACGAGGAAATACACATAATTTTTTACACATTTGTTTATTTACGGCACAAATAATAAATTTATTTTTAATTTTATTATATTTTTCTTTTTAGTTTTGTATCAATATGTTGTTGTTCTCATAAAGTATAACATGACGCAGTTGCGTTATTTCATTGTTAAGTTCCTATGACAACTTACCAGTTCCATCATTAGCAGACCTTGATCTGCAAAGCATCCAGTAACAAAGTTCTCATAAAGGACGGATCTAATGAGCCCAAACACGACGCAGTTGCGTCATTTCATCGTTAAGTTACTATCACCAGCTTCAACTTCACCACCATATCAGCTTACTGACATCATAATTTTGTATGTCATCTGACTTACATGTCTATGCAAAATTTCAAGTCTATTTGACATTAGGAAGTGGGTCAAATTTGTGTGCCAAGATTTGTGCACTATCAAAAAACGAAAGGTTTTAAAAAAATATGACCATTTCAAGATCAGTTTCATTACTCAATACGGGTATAGACACTAAACGATAATTAATAGATTTTTTTTTTCATACATCCAATCTTATTAAATTAAGAAGTCATCAAAAGAGTAGCGTTTTTGCAAACGGAGTAGTTAATTTGCCCAGTGTATCGTTTAAATATTTTTATTCGCCATTTTGTTTGACTGCTTTTCTGAGCGCAAATAATTAAGTTGTAAAATCATTAATCAATCTAATTACGTTGTGATTTATTTACTGTGATTTTTGGAAAATTATAGCTTTGAGCTCTTTCTGCTCCGTGCTGGTGATAAATATGAATGCATTTATGTTGTTGTTTAAAGAAAACTTTAAAATAGTTGCAAAGGGAATGTGTAAGCCCGGGTAAGATTTAACTCAAAAACATATGATGATAATTATAATTATAATTAAATAATTAAAAAACCACATTTCCTGAAGTTTACAAATTAGCTTACGATACAAGTGAGTAGCGAACTTTTAAAACAACCTTGTCATTTTAACGACGATGTTTAACTGATTTAAGTATTAAAAAAAGATAGGCACGTTGATTTAATCTATAAAAATTAAGGAATTGTTCAGATTGTTACCAAACGTTTTATCGGCCGCTGACTGTTTACATGAACAATATGTAAAATAATAGGTATTAAGTATTATCAGTTCAGTAGTTTTTACTACTTCGATACAACAAAATAATTTTGTGGTAATTTATAACAAAATTATCACAAAATCCCACTACCCCTTCATATCTCAAAGATCGTTTCAAATTCGTCAAAGAATCCCACCCCCGCTTCTTGAGATCATCAGAAAACCTGCGGCTGGAAATGCCAATGCATTCTACTAAGTACTATGATATATCTTTTACCGTCCATGCTGTACGACTATGGAATGCGCTACCTTTGTCGATTAGAAAAGCTAATTCTCTTAATATATTTAGGAAACTTGTCAGAGAGTACTACCTGTCCATGAAAGTATGTATAAAGGTATTATATATTTATATATGTATTGTATTTTATATGATAATAGATATTATATTATAGTATATGTAAGTCTATTATAAAATTAAATTATAATAATAACAATTGTCAATTATGTATATTTACAAATTGTTTATATGTACGCCATCCACTACCCCATCATTAGGTCTTTTATATTTAACTCCATCCCAAAGTTGCCTGGAAGAGATCACTTCTAGTGATAAGGCCGCCAATTGTACGTCTCCTGTTTTCGTCATATAAATGTATTTAGTCTTTGTGCGTACAATAAAGAATATTCTATCTATCTATTCCGATGTTTATTGTGACCAAAAACATATAAATGATCATCATTTTGGACTCATTAGAAGGTACTGAAATTGTGGTGAGAATTGATAAGATTTTTTTCAGTATACCCTACTCTACCCTACCCCAAATCTTTGGGCACACTCCTACGTGACGTCATAGCAACGCTATGACAGAAGTGGTATATTTAGAAAATTAAAGCTATTTTTAGGTCTTACTTAATTATATATATGATTTTATTATATATTTCATGTATATCTATAATATAAAAAAGTCGACATCCCTATTCACTAAGTATAAGATTGCTATTGCCTAATAAAGCCCACTGTTATTGACAGCTGGAATAATAAAAGTCAATCAAAATACATTTCAACTACAGTCCTGCATTAACTAATAAGTAGATGAAAATATATAATTTAGACCTATGTATTTCAATTTGGGTATTCCACTTCAGGGGCCTTATTTGGAGTCAGTTTCTTATTATGAATAGTAAAGAATAGTTTGGATCTGATTCTATTCAGTATTTGTAGATATCATTTGCCAGTACTTGTGCTAAGTCTGACATGAGGGAGGTGTTCAGAGCGAAAACTGATGACGAGTCCCTAGATATTTGGGAGTTAGCAACGCAGGTGGATAAGGAATTGCCTGATGACATCTGGGAACTTGTATGTGAGTATAAAGCAATATTATAATCTAGCGTAATTAAAAAGTTCCAGGTATTTCTGAGTTCTATAATGTAATGCCAACCTGGTCAATATGTTTTAATATTTCAGATATTTCAATTGTTCGAATTCTTATTTTGACAGTTTCAATTTCACATCCCATTGAATAGGTATAATTATAATTAATATTCAAGCTTTTTATTTATATATAACTTTTAAGATAGCGATATTACACTTAATTATATTTCTTTATACATTCACACTTTGACTATCTCTATGGCCCAATGGGTCGTCTGCCGGTTTCAAGGTGACGCCATCACCGATATCCCGGATTCTATTCTCGGTCGATTGAATATATGTATGGACTGTGTGGAATAGTGTTGATTGGAGGGTGTTAACAACAGCAGATGTTGCCTGGACGGTTTTACATGCCTTCCGAAACCCGGAGGAGCTCGAGATGATAATTTTGGCTATGGCTGGTCCTTGCGGAAGTTGCTTAACTTTGATTGCAGACCGAACGCGCTAGCCACTACGCCTTCGTGCTCCTTATATATGTGATATTGATTAATAAAAAATATACTAATACCATGTAAATTGAGAACACAAAACTCGTATAATTATATACACTCACAGGCACAATTAATGGCCCTCCTTCTATTTCTTTCAATTCGCAGAAATCGCTAAACTTAGACCATATATTAGGAAACTATAGGTACTTAAAGAAAAAGAATCAACAAAAGTATTGGAAAAAAGTCTTTTATTAAAGGATGCTCACCAAAAATCGATTTTAGAAAATCTTTAATGAAAATTTTAAAGTTTTGGTTTTGGAAATTAAAAGAAAAAGTAGAAATCAATAGTGGGTGTTTCCACCTCTGGCTCTTATGATTTTTTGGAGTCGGTTTGTCAATCCATCTATGATGTCTTGAATATCCGACTGGGGGATATTTTGCCGCTCTTCTACTGCAGCCGTTTTTAGCTCTCCTATAGTCATAGGGACTGGTACTCTTGCTCGGACACGTCTTTTAAGTTTGTTTTAAATGTGCTCTATTAGGTTAAGATTGGGACTCGTGCGGGCCATGGTAAAAATTGAATCTCCTTATTAAGGTACTCACTGACGGATCTTGCAGTATTTCAACGTGCGTTGTCATGCATTAATCTGAAGTTGTTCGTAGTTAGCATCTCGTGCGAGCGATGCGACGCTAGCAATACCCCGCATCAGCTAAAGCTCTAGCTACATCAGTTGCATCGACTGGCATTTTTTGCAATCACAAACAATGAGGAAACACTATAATTTCAAATTAAACAATATTCGTCCACTATGATAGATAATAACAGGAAATGTTAACTCTGTAAAACAACAGCAATAATGTAAAACGATGACTAAATTCCGAAAACCCTTCAGTGACATAAATTTAGGAAAGAAAATTTGGTATAGGTGTTTTATTTATTGTTAGAGTACCCACTTAACAAAAAACAAAACAGTTGATAAGCCATAGTTCACGGAACCAAACAGGGTGATGAATGATACACACAGGTGGGCGGCTAACTGTGCCTGTGAGTGTAGTATATATTTATAAGAAAGTAAAATACTATTCTAATGGATGGGTTTACACAGCAAAGATGCCGCCTATAACCGAGAGACAGCTTATAGCAAGTTCGTCCCGCGAGCTTGGTCTGTGGCGACTAATGTATGCTGACAAAATGGCCGATCTCGACGTCATATCCGAGAAACAGTTCATCAGGCACCTCATGTATCTAATAAGTAAGTTCTTTTGTATTATAATTCTTACGGAAATGACATAGAAATATGTAGACAAAACACTTTTTTCTACATCTTGCTTTGTAATTGTTATCAAGTTTATACGTTTTCAAAAAAAGAAAAAAAAAAACACATACATATACATACAATATAATGTGTAAGATTTTTACGATTATCACTAGCTGTTTTCCCGCGATATTTACAGCCTTATGTCACATAAAAATTCTTTTATTTTCTTTCTTTTGCGAAAATTTGAATTTTCGTGGTCGGTTCATTATTTCTGAAGATTACCCGCTACAAACAAACAAAGTTAGAAACTTTAATGCATGTTATCTTTAGTATTTTAATTATTAAGAGTAACGTAATGATATTTATAATGCGAATTTTTGGTAATTGTAGTAGTATTACAATTCAATTTTTTAATACGACATGTTTTTTACTGTACAGTTGGCATAAAAACAACTTCGTTCCCATTCAGCGAGGAATCCAACTGTTTTTATATAAAGCATGATCTAGCCCTAGAAGGCATATCGCAAGAGCAACTGAGGAGCTACACAAGAGACTTGCTACTTATCGGTTCATACTACAAGAGCCTCTATCGATTCGCATTCAATCAATCACTCGAAGATCATTTCCATAGTAAGGGTTTAGTGTATGAGGTAAGGATCGTCATAAGAATTATCTTATTATAAAATAAGATATCGCACTAGCGCGCATAAGGTGTTGCAGTCAAACTTAGGCAGTTGTTGTAATTTGATTTCAATATTGTACTTCAAGTGCGACACATTGATAGCTATCGCTTTATGTATAGTACGTTTCGTATTATCTTTTACAATCGAAGCTGGTAATTACTATAAATCTATAGATAGAACATTTGTAATGACAACTCAACCATATCTGAATGCCGCTCATTGTAAAGGTGACGAATGATTGAACATTAGATCAGGGATCGGCAACCTTTTGAAACAGAAGTGCCAAAAGCTAAAATTAACAAAAAATTCACATTTTTCAAATAGTTATTGAATGATTTCGTTACAATATAGACATATAAATTTGAGATTTCACGTAAAATGTCTATCTTTTGTGTCGGTATAATAATATTTTTTTACAAATGGAATTTGAGAGCCCTAAATTTACATGGAAATAGCCACTTGCGTCTCACGAACTGCATTAGACGGATGGTACTTCTGCGAGAGGCTTGACGGCTCTTCTATCAGATATGTGCCGACCCTAATAGGTTATTTATATTTTTAGGCGGCACGAGAGGCGGTGAGGCAGTACTTATTAGAATTTCGGCTTTTAGCCACGGAAATATACGACGAATGCACTAAAAGTGATTCTGCAGAAGTAAACTGTTTACCTACACTGCTTCAGATTCTGCACCACATGGAACCACTCAAATATGAAATAGAAACTGTTGTTTCAATTTACAAAACCAATGAACAAGGTATCAAAATTAGTCTTAGCTAAAACCCACGCTTTACTGTGGTTAAATTTGATAATACGTTCCGTTCAGAACTTTCGAATTAAAAGAACATATGTACAAAACAATATTTTTAATACAAACTGCAAGACAATCTATCGATTAAATTAAAAAAAGGAGTAGTTTGTTATTTCTACGGCTTTTTTTTGTTTTCTATGCACTATATACACAGTGATATGTTTTCGTCAATTGTGAACTGATGCTGAAAATATTTTTCTTCATCGAATCCTGAAAAAAATATAAATAATGTGTATCACAAAAAAAGAAATAATAACTGTCTCAAACAATCTGAAAATAATTAAAATAGCGGTTGCCAAATTCAAGAAATTAAATTTGAAATCGGGCGGTGAAAAGCACAGCTAACAAAGCTTTTAAAAATGGGTATTTTTAGTAATTTTTGTTTGTTGTATATTGTAGTTTTAGATGTGAACTCGTCGCTGCCTTGCGGTGCTGAATTGATGTCCTATTTGTTCAATGAAATATCGCTCGTGACACACATGAATACAGCACACACTGTGTTTACGTCACTGTTCTCCATATGCAAGGTCTACTTCAAGTGAGTCTTATCTTCATATTTTTATAGATGCAGCAACCCTTAATATTTTACTTTGTTGTTACTCTCTCACTTACTCTGTTAAGTTGATTAGTATTTATTACTACCCTAGTTTTGCTGACTTTAGTAAATTTTGGTCTTTTTTTATATAACTAATTAATTTTCAATTATTAATTGTTATCATTCCTTGTGAATTTTTTGTATTAAAATGTTATACTCATATTAGGAACTGAATAATTTAAAATTAGTATTATATCGCATCAATTGTTTTTTTTCTGTCTTGTCACTATAATAATCAAATCTAAATCTAGATTAATTTTTAATCGAACGAGACAGATTATTAACTGGGATGTTTACAATGAAATATTGTTTTTAATTTATTTTAACTTCGAAAGTACGAGTACTAAAAAGTTTTCAAAATTACATATTTTTTAGGTTTATAGAAAAATTCATATTCGAGGGCGAACTAGACGACAGACACAACGAATTTTTTATCCGCAAAGACTGTCAATATATAAACTGTCGATCTAAACGTTACTGGGATAAAGGGTTCCATATAACTCAGTCCGTCGCTATCCCAGAATTCTTGAGGCCATTGGCTAAGTTCATACTGCTATGTGGCAAGTCGCTGAGGCTATTGAAACTGTGCAATCCCAATGTGAGTTATTTTAAATCATACATTATAATAATTTAATCAACGATTAGAAGAATTGGTATTTTTAAAGTTAAATATTGCTCTGGACATGTTTTTAGTATGGATATGCCCGACTAAAAATGTTATACACACATTTTAAGTCAGGCATATCCTATAATACTACTCTTTCATAAGGGTTGACGGTTATTGTCGCACATCAGCTTCCGAATCTTTAACATGGTTATTATACCATATTAATGGAGTCCTACAAAAATATTTGTTTACTTGAATAATTAGTATTTAACGAAATCGTATTTTCTAAGCACGCAATGTAAAACGTACAAATACACGGGTGAATGACCGCGCGGCGCGAGCGCTTTTGATAGTTGCACACATGCATAAACGAGCTCACACAAACACACACAGAGACGATCGTAAGTACTACGTACTACGTAAAGTTATTTATTACAATAACCTTTAATTTTATTATAAGTAACGATTAATTTAACCAGTTTAACTTAACATCATGATTTTTATTTTAATGCAAAAACGTACTTACCTGTTCATGTTCTCCGCGGTCTAACTAAGTGTGGCTCGAATTGTGCCCCATTCATCTCAACACAAATTCGAGCCCGTCGCCGCGTCTCTTCGTGAAGTCGAGGCATGAGAGTTGAGTCCTCGATACAACTCGTTCTTATCGTCTCGAATGCACTCACAATTCTTGCCCGCATTTCCTCAGCACTGTCACAAACTCTATTGAACACTTTTTCTTTAACACACTCCCACAAAAAAAGTCCAAAGGTTTCAAATCAGGAGATCGTGGTGGCCAGGCTTGCGGTCCTAATCGCCCGATCCAACGGTCACCAAATAGTTCAGTGAGACGCTCACGTACCGGCCGTACCACATGCGACGGTGCGCCATCGTGTTGAAACCAAGCCCTTCTTAGCTCAGCTAATGATATGCCTTCAAGAATTTCATCAAGGCTCTCATTAATGAACCTAAGATACCCAGCTCCGTCAAGTCGTTGTGGTAGAAACACCGGCCCAAAGATAACATTGTTGAAGACGCCAGCCCAAACGTTGACCGACCATCCGGTTTGGTGGCCAGTCTCTTGAGTGGCACGTGGATTGGTTTCAGACCATAAATGTGAATTTCGTCTATTCCACATGCCGTTCCTTGTGAATGTAGATTCATCTGTCCAGATAACATGCTGAATAAATCCTGGAAGACGCTGTTGTTGATCCAACAACCAACGGCAGAAAGTGCGACGACGGGGTAGGTCTTCGGGTATCAAAGCTTGCACTTTATGAATTTTGTAAGGCCGCATTCTGTTTCTTCGCAAAACTTTGTACACCGTCCAATGCGAAACTGAGGGCCCATTTGGCCGCTGCAGTAACTTCGCAGCAGTCCTCGTGCCCAAACGGGGGTTGCGTTGGATCACATCGAGAATACGCTCCTCGGCTGCAATGTCTATTGGTCGCCCACCGCCGACCGCCACCGGAACGATCGGTTGATTCTCCAACAGTCGTTGAAACGCAGCAGTAATGGTTCGAGAGTCTCCTGGATGATGCACATTAGGAAATCTTTCCCGGTAAATTCTCAAAGCTAGAGAAGCATTGCCACGTGCTTCTCCTAAACACATAACCATGTTCCCATACTCACGAGCACTGTACACATACGCATTAGGCATGATGAGATGCACTTATTGTCTAATAAAACTTAAAATAAACACTAAATAAATAAACCTAACACGCTCAACTAAAAACTATGATAACTAATTTAACGAAATAAACTTTAAAATACGCATTCGCAAACCGAGATGGAAAGTTTTTTGCCACTGGTCGGCCTCATGCCTCGCTCATATCAAAGAAGCCGCGATCATTCGTTCTTCGGTTCTTCCTACTGAATATTCGAGTGTTGCAACTTTTTTCACCAAATTCCCAAAATTGTTTTAGAAATGAAATCTGCAATTGAATGGATTGTGCATTACGTGTTCGATCAAATTTATGTTTTAACATTGTGAATTATTACAAGAACTGATATCGTAAGTAATTTTTAATAATACCGAAATAAACCAAATGAAAATTGTCTGAAAGTGTACGCTATACTAAATTATTTTTATGACAAAATAAGTAAAATGTTTGAAAGAATGTTGTGCATCATTAATAATTGTTTTCACCGTATCCTAATAAATAAAAGTAAGACAGAGAAATTATTATCCGGGTACCGTTTTTGTTAACCGATTGGCAGGAACATTGGCTAACGTAACTTAACCAACCTTATTTGCGACGCTCTTAACTTATTGTTATACGAATAAATTTTTAAAAGTGATTAATGTTATTTCAATAACATCAACTTCAATTTAAAAAAAAAAAATTAATAATACCATGTAATCAAAAATATTAAAAAGATAGATAGATATTTAAAAGATAGCTTACCTTTCTTTAATATCATACAATTTTTATGGGATTTATCCCGTAAAAAAATTACCCAATTAAGGGAAAAAATTAGAGCTGGCAGCACGTGTAGCGGCAGCATGTCTCAGAAACCGGAAGCGGACGGACCGGAAAAGTGAAGCGGCATCTTTTATAAACACACTCACCGGTCACTGCGGTTCGCAATGATATCTAGGGCTGCCACTCATTTCACTTAGCAACTTTAATAGTAATTAATTATGTGTTTAGATTTATAAATAAAGTTTGTCGTAAAAGTACTAAGTGAAGTTTTACAATTCAACATCGCGTTTAATCATGAATAACCCGATAGGATTATACTATTGGGTTAGTCATGCAAAGTAAGTATTTATTAAGAGAAACAACTATTCCGCTTTTTTATAGTTTTCAAATTGAAACAAGAGAAATAATTATGCTAAAATTGAATCGGGAAAAAATTCAATTGGGACTCCCAATAGTTTTTCATAAAGTTTACTTTTTTAATGATTTCACACACACACACACACACACACTTCTGGAGAAATGAAGTTTCTTATACATTTAGATTTTGATGAAATAAAAATGATTTAACACCTTCCCCTCATTTTAATGAAATGTATTTATCTGATCTTTTTGTGTTTTATAAAACCTAAATAAATTACTATGCGAGTTAAAAGATATCGTTATTAGTTACATGCTCTGAATAAAATCAAATGATTTTTGTCTTAAACTTTTCTGCGCTAACGTAAAAAAAACTCATTAAAATAAAGCTCACATTTTAAAGACAAGTAAATAAAAAAGTGCACTTATCAAAATCATGTAATGTAAGTTTTATTTTTAAAAATTTACAAAGATAAAAATTTTGTAAATACTAGAGTTACTAAACCGTTTTGAAATGTTTAGTCGAAACAAATGTTTTCCAGAAGAACATGCATTTTATCTAGTAGGTTATTCAAAAACGATATTTACTCATTAAAAAGTGGCACCCCTTAACACGGAAACACTACCGATTGATTTTGCTTTACACTACTAGATGGCGCTGCATCTATCATTCTCATTCGCTATATCATCAAAACCGCCGCGATTTGCCGCTAGATGTATCTAGAAGTTTACGAGCTTGGCCTGCAGTATCTTCGCTCTCGTTTTTACTTATTGTTATTGCGTGAAAGGGAATGATCATCAATAAATAACAATTTGAAAAAATAACAAAACGCCGTTTTAAAACTACTTTTAGTAATTGCGTTTTCATTGCATTTTCTTAATAAAACACAGGAAAATGGGTACCTAAACTAGCAACGTAGAGAACTAAGAGCTTTTCGTCGCTAGATGTCGCTGAAGTTTCTCACTCGTATCTTCTGTCTCTTTTCATTCTACCAGTGGTGAAGGAAAGAGAATGAAAGTGCCCTTTGAACGTACCAAAGGTTATTGAACTCTCGGGGTCGTCTACCGCCGATCAGCTGATTTTTTCGAGTTTTAATTACATTGCGTTTTTATGGAAAATCAATAAATAGACAAATTTATTGATAAAAATAGTAATACTTAACTTATTTTACATCGCTAAAAATGAAAAAAAAATAAAAATAACATATTTTTTTGAAAAATAAAGTAATAATTTTTTCATTGCAATGTATCCAGAATCACTTACTCTATCACTGGTTTTCGTTTTCGGAAGACAATAACAACAGTAAATAATATACAAAAAGCAATTAAAATGATGACAATGGGAATGTGAAGTTTGAATAGGAAATTTAAACTATTACCATAGTAACCATTGTTTACTTTACTATTCAATTTGTCACTGTAATTATATCTATGTCATCCAAATCTATATTATGAAGTACTCTTTGATCCAAATAAACAATTCCCTAGCGCCCATGGCGAAGTCGTTAGCTGAAAGCTAATTAATAAATAAATATACTATTGTATTAATAGAGATTGCATACTAACCTTAACCACATGTGTTCATGGATGTGTTCATGGATCATTTGGGCCAGCATGGAGGGTCATGGGCCATCCTTCTTAACCATCCATAAGGAAGGCTGAGCCCCTGCAGGGGGGATGTAAAAGGGTTGATGATGATGATGATCGGTGCAGGATCCGCTGGTGGTGCTGATATCGTCTGACCACCCGTCCATGAAGTGTTGCTCCACGTTCGAGCAGCTGCAGCGCCAGCAGCGCGTGCTGGACGTCTACCGCACCAGGTCATCTACCCTCACGTATTATTTCACTTTATAGTACAGACGACTCTTTTAATATTTTTATTTTATGCATATACATGAAATATATCTTAAATAAATATATCTAAAGCAATTAAATATCTAAATTAAATATATATATATATCTAAAATAAGTATCATTCATGTAATAAGTTAATAGCTGAAAATAAATTTCATTTACAAAATTTCCCGCGAAAACGCCATCTACTGTCATGGCGTCGCTCAGACGTCACGCCCATCTAAAACTTATATCGTTCTATGTATGTTTAAGATTCAATTCTCTAAATTATGAAATAAATATGAAATATATGATATTTTTCGTAATTAATTTAACTTGGGCACTTGTCCCAGGCGTTAGTGCCCGGGGGGGTGTCAATGTTATCATTTATCACAATCCATATATACTATAGGCTAAGATGTGACGGACATGCTTCAGAATCCCTAATTGAAATAAAAACAGTCATACACTGCAAAATATGGTAAAATAAAATTCGGACTTTTACTTTCATTTCATTAATTGTCTAAACTATATGATTATTAAAAAAATCGAATATTAATAAAAAAACATTATTGTCAAATGCTTAATAGGGTAATAGGGTTTCCTAACACATTTCTGAAAATTATTTTAAATCATTGTTTGATAAAGTTTAGATAGCCTGTTATAGAAGATATATTTAAGTTATTTTTTAATGTTTATTGAATAATATTGAAATAATCAAAAGCCATGCGGTGTTCAATTAAGTATTAATTAACTCAGGTGTCTGTTCGTAAGCGGGGAGCCTGTCACCTTCGACCAGATATTGCTCAAGAGGGAAGCAGAGAAGAAAGCTTTCACAGAAATGGCGTCCGTTAAACAGGCCGAGACTATGGAGAAAATCGTCGGTGAGTATAGATTAATTGAATGAAATGAAAATATCTTTATTCAAGTAGGCTTATTACACTTTTGAATCGTCCAATAATTTTTTCCCCTACTTGTTCAGGACGTCTATTCCTTTGTATAAAATATTTGACGTCAATAAAATAAGACAATAACAATTAGCTTTAATTTCCTAACCAGGTCAATGAAAACCCTGACTAATTTTACTCCAATACAATGTGTGTGGCATCAACGCTGATATTCTGGCAGGGGCTTTTAGGTGCGTTACATTATGAAGCAGATGTTATTATGAAAAAAAAAAACAACCACAACAATAGTCCATTTTCACACTATATTTATGATAAATGAAAAAATATGAACGCAGCTTCATTTTATTTATTATCTATATCTGAACGCATCATAGCTGGTACTCTGTGTATAGGAAGTAGCTAACTTTCTTGTACCTTCCTGTTGCAAACCTTAAGTCGAGTCTATCTGATTGTAAAACATATGTTCATGAATAAAATCAACCATTTAAGGCCAATTAATGTTTCTTCTTAACTGGGTAGTGATGTATAACCTTAATACGTGCAAGTATTGAAATATCAACCGTGAGAAAACACACGCATTTTTGTATTTTCTTTTATTTTTTATTAAAAATTGCACACCCGGAGTTTTGTATTACTGTGGTTTGGGATCTGAACAATGTTTTTGAAGTTAAGTTATATTATGACATGACATATTTATTGCAGCTGAACGTAAAAGACTGGCTCAGTTGATAATCGCGGAAAAACAGCATTCGTTGAGAGTACTAGAAGCCGCTATGGCTGAAGCGAAAGCGGCAAAGGTTAAAGCAAGACAGAGGGAGCGACGCCGCTCTCAGTTAGAGAGAGAGGCAGAGAATGCCGCCGAAGAAGTAGACTCCAAACTGAGAGATGATGAGAAGTAAGATACACTCAGTGCTAAGTAACATTCTTATTGCAAACGTTTTCTTGTTATCTCTTAAAAGCTTGTTTTCTTATCACTCTCACTATTTGTGTAATAGATTCGTTTTCGATTTCATGAGTGTAATAATTTAACCAAAAATAATGATGAATATAGATGGTTATATGTGTCTATAAACCTTAAATTAGCTTGCTTACTAACTGTCTTGCTTAATTACTATCCTAGAAGAAGCAAACATTTGTAATAATTTACTATGTATTTTTTCAATTATTATCACAGAAACAAAATTATGGAGTATTATTCGAAACTGAATATGGAAGTTGAGAAAAGTAAAATACATACTGAATGGAAAATCAAACGATTACAATTAGATCAAAGCAGAATACAATTGCTGTCCACAGAAGAAAGAAATCTGAAGAGAGAGAAATTAGAACTTGAACATCAGAGGAATGGTGAAATGGCAATGTCTATTAGCCTGGATTGTAATATTGATAATGATTCTAAACAAGAAGGTGATAATGTTGAAAGTCCTGAATTCGATAATGCTGAGGCAACTAAAATTGAGGAAATAGGAGAGAGTTCACAAAACCCCGAAACAAAATCCCAATTGGCTAGTGGTGTTTTGAATGTGCTGTGTAGTGCAGCTAAAAGTATATTCAGTGTAAAGACAACGGCTGACGATAAAAATTGTGATAACGTTAAGAATTTGGACGCTCAAGGTAATGTCGTGTGTGGTGATACAGAAATCAATTCAAATAAACACGAAATAGTGACATCTAGCGAAGAAATCGGTAACAATCTAAATGAAACTTACGATAATGTTCAGTTTCTGAAGATGAGACAAGAGGCTTTGCTGAATAAGCAAAAAGTGATGTCACATGAATTTGGACAAGTTGATAAGGAAAACAATCAAACGAAATATCCCTTTATTAGAACAATAAACGTGGACGAAGAAAACAATATGCAAGAATGGTCTACTTTCTCGGAGGCGAGACGGAATAAGCTCAAAGTACTAGGCGATGAATTCGGTTTAGAACCTCAAATGAAACCGATTGTAGAACCAAAGACAGAAGCACAGAAGGAAGCTTTAATTAACAAACAGAAAGTTCTAGGGGTTGAATATAATCTCCCTCTAGAAATGTCCATAAAAGCACCGGCAAATATAGCACAAGAAGAAGCTCTTAGAAACAAAACGAAGATACTCGGCTCTGATTATGACACGAGGACGGCTGAAGTTGTACCTAAACGGGAGACAGCTAAACGATCAGGTCTGACGTTGAATTTGAAACCTTATGGAGAGACTATAGGATCTAGTTATGGTATCACACCCAACACAGGAGCGATTACGCCGGGAGAGTTATTCCCCAGGGTAAATTGATTTTAATTAGCTTAACGCATGTTTCCACAGCTTACTTTTCGATCTTGACAAACATTCTCTGTAGTCGAGTGGATCGCCGGTTTCAAGGTGTTGCCATCTCTGAGTTCCCGGGTTCGATTCCTGGTCGGATCAATGTAGGAAATGAACTTCTCTATATTGTCTCGAGTCTGAGCATTGTGGTACCTTCGTTGTCTCATCTTGGAATTTGCGCAATGTATGTGATTTTGTCTAATATTTTTTTATTTATTTATTATTTTATCATATGTAACAGTTTAATAGTGTCCGACCGAAACTAGTTCTTCCAACCGAAACTGAAACCGAATTTCGACAACGGTCTCAGTTTTGGCCGAAGCAGAAACTTCCATACAAAGGTCATATTTTGAGCAATAAATAAAGCAATCTATCAGTCTCTATTTTCTTATTTTAAAATCACAAAGCACATGCCATACAACACGTGCCAATGACAATATGGCCGATCTATCATTTTAGTTCCACTCATTGCCGTAGAATTTCTTTCGCCCATGGAAATTTGTGCGCCAAATATGAATTGATCATATTATACAGCGCGGGAATGCGGTTTCGGTTGTAGTTTGCCACCGAAACCGAAACTCGTTTTTACTATTATAATCATCTTATATTTATTATGTGGGTACAATTTTGTTTTGAGTTCTTAATTCAAAAAGTACCAGATATCCAATTATTATATATGTATTTAATCATAACAAAGTAATGAAACATGACCTTTTTCCTAGGGTTCACACTTGAGCATAAACAAACATAAATATGCATATATTATTTCAATTAAAGACCGAATAAACAAATAAATTATTATTTTCATTGCAGCTCGATTTAGAAACTCCAACTACAGGTGACGTGCCTTTAGAAGGGGCTATAACGGCTGAAATATGTACTCCACGTAGCGAATTTATGAAAGATACAGATACAGCGGAAAAAATCGATAAACAGTACAGCACTACGGACGGTTTCAATTTCCCCGTTCTAGAAGACGATGACGTAGCAGAAGCAGAAACTGGTAGTGAAATGCAAACAGATGGAAGTCCAGAAAACTCACCTTCGAAGAGTTTAGACGTTGAAACGAAGAATCATACGAAACACTATTCATTTTTCGAATTACTAGATGGATCTTATAACCTGAATGAATTCGATCCGTTCGGTGTGAAAGATCTGAAGAAGTTTTCGAAGGATTTTTTCAATAATAGAATGGATAATGAAATGCTATCGTCTTGTTATACACACCCTTCGGTTATTATGGACGAAGTGAAGAAATCACCGTATTCTAATATATTTGCAACACATTTTAATCCAGATGAAAAGAAAGAGCAGAAGATTACCAGTGATAACATATCCATGTTGAGTGCTTGTCTGCAAAGATCTGTTATGTTACCGTTGACGTACCAATTGGAAGTGGTCAATAATTCCATGTTGACATATTTCCTGGTGAATCTAGACATGTATGAACATTTGAGGAGTTTGAAAGATTACTTTTTCCTAATGGATGGGGAGTTCTCTAGGAGTATTTGCAACAATCTGTTCACACAGCTGTCGAAGACTGTGAATCCGCAGGAGCTGTTGAACTTTGCTACTCTTCACAACATTTTGGATAAGGCTCTCGGTTCATCGATATCGCGTGAGTAAATTCAAGTTATTCAATTAAATATAAAAAGTTTCTTTCTCATTTATATAATTTGTAGTCCTAATTTTTGCTATTTTTGTATTATATGTATTTACTGCGATCATTGAGATGATGCCTGGGTAATAAGACAATAGAAAAATATTAGATACGTATATTTTTACTTAAATTTAACTAGAAATGGCTTAGACATTAAACTTGAAGAGTTGGGGCTTGGGTCATGTGGAATTTCAACTCAATGTATCGCCCTAATTTATTGATAACGTAAAAAAAAAGTCATTAATATTCTCTCAACATAATGTACCTGACGCAAAAACAAAAAGATAGTCTTCATTCCTAAGGAATTGGCAAGTCAATTTATAATGTATACTTATGTTTACTGAAATAATTCTATAAGACTTTGATTCAATCACATATATAAATTTTACGGTATTGCCAATGTTACCTTTACTGAAATTTTCAAAAACCTAAATAAATGAAGGATAATGCTATATAAAAGAAATAAAAAAATAAACTGACTTGAAAATCGTCCTTTTCAGTTGTTTCTCTTTATTAAGATTGTTTTGAAGTGTGTTTAATATTTTTATATTTTTTAAAATTATTCATTTCTTTTTTTATTAATAAAAGTTTATTACTTTTAACTTTAATGGACACCTCTTAGGATCGAAGTTTTAATCTACTCATTACCTATTATACTGGTAGCATTTCGTTTTTACTGGAGTCGTAGTTTTAACAGTTGCATATATTTCTACCCCATTATGATTTCTTACAGTTATGGCCGGTTTATGAATTGAGAAAAGTACAAAATATCAACTGATTATACTCAATAACTTATGGTTTTTTTTCGTTTTACAAAGCAATAAGTCCTGATAAATTAAATCAGAAACGAAAACCGGTTTAAAACTCGTTTTCACCAACCTATCTATAGAACAAGGCATAGTTTGACTAGAAATCACTTAACATATAGCTTAAACGCATTTGACGTTTCACCAAACCTGTATCGTTAGGTAATGCCTTACTAATTGCTTAGATAGGCAACTTTTCCATTTTTTTTTAATGTATAGTCTATTTGGATTTACACAATTCCGCTTATGTCCCGTTAGTCGCCTTTACACGTAAAGAGATAATAACAAAAATATAAGTATGTTTTGATGTTATTACCACAGAATATTATTCTTATTATTTCACAAGAAAAATTATACGTGGTTTTGTATTTACACGAGTACCCTAGTCGTTATAGACCAAAAATTCAAAAAATATTGTTTATATGTTAATTTTTATATATAAACTCCTTGATTCCCACTTTCTAAATTGATTTTATTCTTTGACTCATCCATTATAGCCAAAGAGTCATGCAAATGCCCAGCGTAAGAGCGTAAAACGTCGCATAATGCATGTAGTCTAACTTTAAGCGTTGCTTAATGTCTTTAGGTGGCTTTTCATGTGAAAGGCATTTTTACCTTTGAAAGTGCCCAAATGTTTAGGTGTCAAATTTGGGCGACTAAGTTTAGTGAAACTGGGCATAAGTGGCATTTGAAATAGTTCTCAATTCATAAGCCGGGTGATAGTCTAGTGATTACACATATAGAGTCTTAGTACCGGTGGTGATGTGGCCGTTACATGTCGCAGACGTGCACAAGTTCTCCGAGAACCTGTCGTTCAGCCTGTCGGCGCCCCCGCTGGGGCTGCAGCACGCCTCCCCCGACGTGCTGCAGTGCCTCGCGCTCTCCTACCAGGTGCGGTGGCCGCTCAACATTATACTGTCCCAGGAGGCGCTGCTCAGGTTACATAGTTACATAGACTACTGGACTCTATAGTAAAATGTACAGAAATTATACTCGTAAATAAAAACAAAGATAATAACAATGAGGATGCATTAAAAAAAAACATTAGTTCTCGAAATCAAACTAGATGTCGCTACGGTACCTTCTCGATTTCTCCATTGCAACCTTTCCGATTTTCTTTCATGTTTAAAAGTAAATTAGTTTTCAAAACTCAATAAACAACTCGTATTCTTTTTGCAATTTTTCATATTTGTATTGATATCTAAGTGTCGAACTTTTAAAATTTCAGTTTATATGTTTGTTAAAAGGTACGGAAATTACTGTCTTTTGTTGCCATCCACCGGAGGTGCTTTTTTAGTGCTTTCGTTTTTTTTAAATACTTCCTTATTGGAAAACAATATTCAGAAGTCAGACAAGCTAATATTAATAATCTACACAACCTCCTACATTTTAGGATTTTACCCTGGTGTTGTGTGTTTGAAATTTTAAATTTTTCTAAAATTTTACTTCGAAATCTTTATATTTGAATGTCATTAACAATAATATTATGTTCAGGTATGCGAGAGTGTTCCAGTTTTTGCTGAAAATGAGAAGAATCTTTTGGTCACTTAGCGAAGATTTTGAGGTAAATTCTCAAATATAGGATCTCAGATCTAATTTTCTGTTCTGTTTCTGTTATTTATATAATTTTATATTTTAATATTAAAATATCATCAACTTGTAAAATTAGGGGGTACTGTTTACCGGATTACGTTAATTATTTATTTTAATTAAAAACAATAGCAAAATTTTTATGAACATGTGTTTATTAACTGTAAAATTAAAAACGCTGAGACTGATGACTTTATATATTTATCAACAAATTAAATAGGAATTATTATCTAGTGTATTATATTTGACACAAACTAAGTTACATTTATAACAGATAAATAAAAGTTTCCTATTTTCTTTTATCATCTTATTTATTTATAATGATTTTTTATGTAAAGTATTTGAATAGTAAAATCTCCTTTCAGGCTCTAAAACTGTCGGTGAAATTGTCAAAGCAGCATTCTAGGAGATTATTAAGATCACCTCAATACATATCTATACAGATATACAGACACAATATGGCGTCGATGATTCGCGCCCTCGACAACTATATAGTGACCACGTGTATCCTAACCTCCTGGACAGAGTTCGAGAACGATCTGAAGAAGGCCAGGACTCTGGACGATCTGTACGACTGCCACGTGGTTTATATTAAGAAAGTCCTGTTCAGATGTCTCCTGAATAACAGATCAACTCCAGTTATGAAGTTATTGAACGATATATTCACGGTAATATTGAAGTTCAGCCGCGTTTTGAAAGCGGGGTGAGTAGTGTTGTCTCTTTCTAATTATTTGTGATTTGACGCGACTATAAAGGCTATACATATCGTTTCTATAGTATAGCTGTCCAAATGAAGTCTTGTATGAAATTTCAACTGTCAGCAGAACACTCAAGATTGGTTTTTCCAATCCTAAACGAATTTTGATTAGTCTGCTAACAGTGCAATAATAAAATAATAATATGATCTATCAACTTGATGGACCAATAAGGTCTTCATTTTGACTGATCAATCAGGGCTTCGGTTACTTTATAAGCAATTTTCGTTATATCGGTTCATGGTGCTCTGTTGCACTTTAACATATTATAAAATACGGAAGTTAAAGCCGGACTGACTAATGAGATTTTTTAAAAATCGATACATAAGTTTCTATTACTAATATATATTTTATATGAAAAAAATATTTGGTTATAATATTTGAAAGTGATAAATGAGATACTCGTTTACTTAGTCTTATACCGACACATTTACTTAGATCACTTTTTATTATTTAGACATAAAAACAAAACTGTTGAACCGATTTGATGAAAATCCGTTAAACTCTGTTCATTTAAAACATATACAGACGAATAGGACATATTACTGCAACTTTCTGCCGTCAAATTGCAGAACTAGCACATCTATTTAACTGTTTTTTTACAAATGTCATTCACAGAGTAGTGAGTAAAGACTAAATAGAGAGCATAGCAGGTTTTTTTTTAAATTTAATTAGATAGAGTGTAAGTTTATCCAATCAAACATAATTACTGCATATTTGGAAAAAAGAAGGAAAAGCATAATTCATTTCCTAAAGACAAAATGTTCGACAAAGTTTGTTTGTTTAGTATATGCGCATATACTGTAAGTGCTGCCATCTACGCCGATTGAGAACCTTCTTGTTTTGAAGCCGGTTAGAAATTAAAAATCTGGTAAAATACTGATCTGAACGTTCCAAAGCCGCGCTTAGTTTGAAATTCGAGGAATTATGTATTCTAATAATATTTTGTATGTGTCTTGTTCTGATATTTATATATTTTATTATTTTTCTAGAGAATGGCATCAGGTAGAACCGAATGGTCGCTTTGTTCACTCGAGTTTTTCCCAACTCGATGAGTTGTTCCATCTATTCGAGAAATTGGCGAAATATTTACACAAGGTGATCACCAAACTAATGGAATGTGGATACCAAAGACATTTGGTAGAGTTATTGACTATGGTCAATCTGAACGGATACTACGAACCGGAGAAGACGAAAGAGGAACACAACGTTAGTGCATTGACTAGTACTTGATAGTTTTCATTGTATCGAAGGCATAAGAATCTATGTTCATACGGTCTCTGTACTAAGTTTTCAGTATTATTGTTTTGCATTACAATATTGATGTAATTGTTGTACATTTAATTTATTTTTGATTAATTCAGTTCAATTTCTTTATTATTACATTAAACCGTCAAAGTAGGTAGTTGTAGTAGTTATCAAAGTAGTAAAATGAAACTATATATCGATATAATATCGCTAAAATGACATATCTTAAGGCTAGGAAACAAGGCTGGAGAGTTTTCTATCTGTTTCGGTCCGAACCGTCGGCGTCGTCTGAACGAAGCCTTATTATCATTAAGTCCAAATAAGCGTTGCTTCTTTTTATATGGCTGTGTAAATATTATTTTTATTTTAAATGTCGTTGTACACTAGAAGAGCAGTGTTATCCATATTAAAGTATGTTTGTTTGTATTTCTTCGTTATAAAAGAACGTCGTTATGGTATTTGGACATAGTTGGGAAGTTAGAAAGTAACGTAGGCTCCTTTTTTAGTTTGAAAAATTAATTATTTCCCGGGCAAAGCCGCGGGCAACTGCTAGTTGTTGATATGTTGTGCCATACAGATTAGTTGATAAAATGTTTGCGACAATAATAAGTATTAAAAATAAAAAGCGAGCCTTTAATATTATGTATGTTAAATACTTTGTGAATATATTTCGGATTTTTCCCAGTTGATTTGCTGATATTCTGTGGTGTCTGTTCATGAGTTTTGTTTAAAATAAGTATTTGTGAACTAGCATAGCTCATATTATTATGAACATCCTTAAATATCCGAGTATAATGAATTATAAGTACACACGCTCTCTCATTGCTATATAATATTGTATAGGAAAGGTTTAACTGTTTGTTTGCATTGAATAGGCTTTGAAACTACTGTATTATGAAATGAAATGAAATGAAAATATCTTTATTCAAGTAGGCTATCACAAGCACTTTTGAATCGTCCAAAAAATTTTTTTTCCCCTACCACTTGTTCAGGACGTCTTTTAGCTGACAAGAAGAACAAGCTAAAAAAACTTACCAGCTTTTTATCATAATTAATTTTGAAAATTGTTTCCCTTATCATAATTCATATTATACTCGGGGTAAAGTTTACGCGAACGAAGTCGTTGGAAAGTTAATAATATTAATAAACTCTTAAAGTGTTTGTATAATTTTAATGTGATATTATATTTTCCCAATAATTTAGTGTTATAATGGGTTATTTTTGCATGTTTATATTTAAAATAAAAAGTTGTCAGTAAAGGTTTTAGATAACTATGAAAAATTGTCGAATTCTCCAATCGATTGTAAGTCTAGATCTTTTGAAAATTGACTTCTAAATCGTTTACGAAGACAATTGTAGTTACCCGATGTGTTTCTCTGAGTTCAATCAAATGTCTATTAGATATTATTTTAATAGAAATTGCCAATGTGACGATTTTGATATTCACCCTTTGATATTTTACAAAGATTTTGTATACAGATCATGATATATTTACAAATTGCACGGAATGTAAACTCTCTTCTAATAATACTCGATTAGTTCATAATCTCTATTTATTAATTACCTGTTACCAGTCAATAAATGCACTTAAAAAAGTTTCATTATTTTATTATTTTTTGTCTATTAATAATTGGTGTAGCTCAGTGGCGTAGTGGATAAGCGCCGCGGCCCGCGATCGGTTGTCGTTAAGCAACTTTCGCAAGGGTCGGTCACGGGATGGGTGACCAAAAAATTATTATCTCGAGCTACTCCGAGCTTCGGAAGGCACTTTAAGCAGTTGGTCCCGGCTGCATTTGCAGTCGTTAATACCCTCCGATCCGCATTGGGCCAGCGTGGAGGGTTAACCTTCCATGAGAAAGGTCTGAGCCCCTGCAGTGGGGACGTAAAAGGGCTGATGATGATGATGATGATTATTATTATTAATTTACATTTCCAATTAATTTACTACATCCCAATAAGGTTTTACAGTATATTGCTTTGAGGTCATACCGAACGCAGGGAAATTTCCAAAATAACGAATTACCGCCAAATTCGGCAATGTTTTTTTAGCAACTGTTGATAAAGTTGACAAATAAAAATGTTTATTAGACGAAAATATTTAAAATTAGATAAAACAAACATTGCTTGTTTGATGTAATTTTCGGAATGAGGAAGTATTTTAAGAAAAAAAAAGAAAGCACTAAAAAGCACCTTACTAGATGGCGACTCTACCAAAAGTTGATTTATGCAGGGAACGAATGGACCAAAGTTAGTCCTTTCCGTTTATTTTAAGTAACATATTAAAAAACTGAAATTTGCAATGTTCGTAACTTAGATATCAATACAAACACGAAAAAGTACAAATAGAATATGAGTTGTTAATTGAGTTTTGAAAATTACTTTACTTTAGAAGTGTATTATAACAATTTGATGTTATACTCACTGTGAGGCCACACAAAATAAATCGTTTAAAATGATATTAAGTACCTGTAGATAATATATAAAAACAATATTAAGTTAAACTTGACCGCGCGATAGTAGCAGAGCGCCAGTTTCGTGCGTGCTTTTTGTGATTTTCAATAGCATACAAAAGAATGCCTAATTTAGGTGTAACGTCACTATGTCGTTAGTTTTGGCTATCAATAGATGGCGCTAGAAATTTGATTATTTTGTTACAATGCTATTGAATTGAATTTATTTCCCCCATTATTAATTTATTTAATATCTATTGCAAAAGAAGAACAGGAGGCGTACTTAATGATTAATATTAATGTATTTGTTATATTTTCTTTTCCAAATTTTTTATTTTATATTTTGATCATTTTATTGATTTAGTGTAAAAATAATATTAGATCTCTATAGATCTGAATACTGTTTTAACTGTAAGTATTTTACTTTATGTGGGTATATTTAAATATCTTTATTAATTTTGTTAAAAAACTGTTTGCAATGGTATTTAATGTACTGTATCGTATATTTTTTTATTGGGTTTGAGGGCCCTTTGTATCTTTGTCTCGTATATTTATTATACACTTGTAAAATATTTCAAAAGTGAATATATTTTAATTGATTTAAATGGTGTAATGTGTAATCCAATGATATCATAAAAGATTAGGGAAATCTAAATGTTGCATTATTATATTTTTGTATTCATATCTAAATACCTTTTTAAATATAACAAATTTTACTTTATTCTAAGAATAACAATTATAAACAACAACAATAATTTGAAAATCTCTTCACTACAAGAATAAGTTACATTATTTTGAGCTTTTGAAATAAAAGTATTCGAATACCCAATTTTTTATCAAAGAGCACCAATTGTAACGACATCTGTAATAATCAATATGACTTTCGATTCGAAGTTTCTAGAAGTTAAATTCATTGGCTACGTAGAGTTAGCGTTACGGTAGCAATTAAGAGGACATGCAGCGCCATCTATTGGGGAGTAGCAGTACTATTCAAACGTATTTTCCCATAGATGGTGATGTTAATCATTTGCCTTTTTTTGTCTGTAATAATGAAAAAAAAAATAATAAAATATAAAAAAACACTATTCTCGTAATATATTAAACTTATTTCCACCTTATAAACATGTGTTGTGGAGTAAAATATCCATTGTAGAGTGCTGATAGAGGTTGTCGATAAGAACCGCAACGACAGTGGCGCCATTATTTTCCTTATAATCAGGGTGTGTTTTCACGAATACTCATTCCACGGCAATTCGTCTTAGGGTGAACATCCTTTCCGAATTGGTACAGTGCCAGTGACATTGAAGTGAAAGCCGGCTTACACAACCGTGAACCCAGTTTCTTGGACAATATATGCCATTTGAGATACTAAACAAATAAAAATATTAAAAAGTGAATACAAATACAGACGACCTTACCGACAGCGATAACATCTATCGATCGGCGTGCAATCCTCGCTAGCTCCGTCGAGCCGAGCGTTAAAAACGAAAACGTTAAAACGCAGGAGTCACCGTCACCGCCGTCGAGATGGCGTTCATGATGCCAGTTGTCAAAAACGATTGGGATATTTACAATTCGCAGCGTTCTCGCCGGCCCTCAGAGACAGTGGAAAAAGTCGGGCGCGTACGGAAAGTGTCCGAATCCCGATCAGAGGGTCCTTCTTTGGGTCCCGGACGGTTGGCCTTGAGTCCTCATCGGAGCGCGCCGGCGATGCGTTCGCTGTCATACAGCCGGGCGCCTCCTTCGCGGGTCTCGTTGCGGGTCACAGACAGCCCCAAGAGCTCGGGTAGTCCGACGCAGCAGCAGTCGGAGAAGTTTCACAACAGGTTGGTGGAGAAGTTGAAGCGGGCGCTCGGCCGCTCGGATTCGCGGCGGGAGGAACGTAGCTCATGAGCTAACGCTAACTCCTGCTTGTGTTCAGGGCGCGGGCTGCCTCCCCGGGGCGGTCGCGATGTGCCGGCTGCGTGCCCTACTTGTAGCAGGGAACAGCCGCGCCCGGCGCGGCGGCACACCATCTGTGATATCTATCCGATAGTGAACGAGATGAGTACTCGAGTGCAGACTAACCCTGTGGCCCGTTCAATGCATGCTAGTGACACCCCGGGCCAGTATTAGGTTGTATGTTTGTCAAGACTGCGTTTAGTTTAAGTCTGTGCCGCTGTAATCTGTTTACACTGGGGCTGCCAATGCTTATTCTTTCAAAAAATATTTTTCGAAAAATACAATAACATACCTAGATTTTTTTATGGAGTTCAAAATAGGTTTTATGTATTTTTTGCACTTCAAATTTCAAATCTGATATAAAGCATAAATTACTTAATAATATACAACAGTTGGTAACCCTAGCTCTACCCTAACAGTTGGGCTAAAGCGGCGTTTAGAAATAGAATTGGCGAATGGTATCTGTGATTCGTTATTTGTAAGAGATGGTTTATTTATTATGAGAAACATTTTTATTAAGTTATCAAATATTTAGTTGCGATCAGTACCTATAATTTGTTCTAAATCAACATAAAATCCACAAATATTATCAGGGTTTCACTTTCGTCTTTACGTCTGTTACATTGCTGTGTTGAGAGTAAGCTATGAGTTGAGAGTAAGTAGTGAGTTGAGAATGTTGTTGACGGGGAGAGAGTTAGTTGAGTTAGACAATGCTAGTATAAAATGTACTACAATATTAAGCGATGATCGGCTGTAACTTAATATCGTTACTTATAATATAATTCGTTATTAAGTATCCATGTTTCTAAATGTGTAAACGTTAACGCGGTTTTGACTGTGTATAAGGACCAGCTTTATTAAATATTATGAGATAGTATTATATTAGTATTAGATCAGTGAAACTGAACCAAAATTAACGATTCTAGTGATGCTTGATGTTTATGAAATCTAGGCATGTCTCGATGAGATTTGACCAAATGTTATAATAATTATATTCAATAGTTTTTTTTTTATTCGCCTCGAAGTTCCTTTTCTTAGAATATGATAAGTATTACGGTGGGTGTACTGGATGTATCTTTATACTGTGGTAGCATTTTTAATGTTCGTATTATTATAAACGTCTACACATAACGAAACTGACTTATTTCACATACTGTAATGTACTATATTGTCATTTTGCATGTACGTATATGTAACTTTGTATACAAATTTAGTGTCTGATTTGATTTTAATATAAACATATCTATGATGATAAATAAATTGCAAGCTTATTCTGAACTTTCACCTTTTTACTTTTCATACCTTTTCCATCATCCGTTATCCATTCTTTGATTTTTAATCATACACACAAATAAAGATCAGTATCGTGAGTTTAATTTTACCGTCTTGGAATTTTATGTTGAACAGCGAAAATGATGTCCCGACTGGCTCCCGGGTTCGAATTCCAGTTGTTACCAATTACAAAATGTAATCTAATATTTATAGTGCAGCGGGTTTGGATAGTTGTGGTACTTTCGTAAGGCTCAGACCGTATTGTAATTGAACGCAACTCAGAAATTGCAAAAAAAAAAAACAAATAGCCTTCTATACATGCACACTCAACTGTAAACACGAGCCTTGATGTGCAGTCAATAGCATGTGAGGTATATAAAATATTGTAATACCCATTTATTGTAATATCATTGTGTTAGGTTATTACAATAAATGGATATATACAGTTTCGTATTATCAGATTTTAAATGCAGTGCGGTGTCAGCTTTATGTCAGATATCCATACCAAGGCTTCAGCAATTTAACTCGGGACTTGACCATTGTGTTGTGACTCAAAAGCAAAAGGAAATAGATTTGAAAAAGCTTTTAATCCAATACGTTTAACATTACGCTGATCAACAACAATTTGAAGAATCCCAATTATACATATGTCGGCATCTTGGCTAGTATTCAAATCTTACACGAGTAGGTGTGTTCTAACGATTTTGTTTACGGAAATTTCACTGAAAGCATTTAACAGCTCATAATATATATGTATCAATCAATTGAATATTAAAAATAATATTAGACAGCACCATGTACATTGCTCAGATTCCAAGTTAAATCACTAAGGGCTGGTTTGTGAATTGAGAAAAGTTGTTTTATCAAACTGCTGCTATTTGATTATTAAAAAAAATATAATCAGAAACGAAAACCTGCGTGATGTTTAAGTACAATTTGAGACGTGCTCTAAACTTTAAATTCTCAATTCAGAACGCAGGTGTGTACCTCGTAATATGTAGTATCTGAGACAATTAAAGTGCCGCAGCAATCTGAGACAATGTAGAAAAAATAATTTATTATATTGACCCAATCGGGAATCGAACCCGGGACCTCATGACATTTTGAAACCGACGTGCGAACGAACTGGTTACGGAATTGAACTTTCCATACCAAATACATTTGTATTTTATATTTGGTATTAGTAATTGTAATATTATTATTTTTATACCGAATACACTTACATTTGACGACCGTATTGTATCATTCGGTTACTTTCCATTCATTGTCATCATTGTGACTTCGTCATATAATAATGATACCTTCCGTTATCTTTTCCGTGAATTACAGGTGAAAGAATTATTGACGTTATTAGGTAAGTTGTATTACAATATATAATAATACATGTACGAGTACATAATTCCTTTTGAAGGAATTTTCATGTGTTTTTAAATACAAATTAAAGATAAGGTTTCATATGATTGTTTTAAATTCACCTAACTGCAACTTGCCTACAATTTTAATGGACTTATCAAATGTTCATGGTCTGTTGATGACGATTACTCACGTGTCACCGCACACTTTACACGAAATGCATAAATAGCGTTATAAAAAACGGTTTGGGTATATATTTGTGATAGGAAACCAATATTTTGTTCTATGAGCTGTTTGTATGTTAGACGACCCGCGTAAATTTATAGTCTTTATCACTCGCGTGTAGTTTCCTGTATTTAGGTAAAAGATTTTTTATGATCGGGTCGGTATCTCCGAAAATTACACCCACAAACAAATAGAGTTAGTCCATTTCAGTCCCCTGAATAGAACAATCTATCTAAATTTGTCTTTTATTGATTATATTTTCATATTCTTGTTACTTACTGTTGCATCATTATCTTTTTCTTTTAATGAATGTGTAAGAAACCACAATTAAGATGTGCTGTTCGTTCTATTGAGTAATTCGATGCCTCAAAATATTTCAAAGTAAACTATAAACGATATCGTAAATTATTTTAAACAAATAGTTTTAATGCTAACGTTTATACAGCTTATTTAAAAAAAATAAAACACGAGCTTTATAGAAAATACGAATGTTTTCATTGATAAAATCAATAAATTGTTTATATAGCTATAGCTAGAGTCGTAGCTAGAGCGTCGAGCGGCCCTTCGAGCGTTCATTCTACGGACATATACTTCATTTATACAGAATTCCACGGGTAATATTGTTTTTCTAATGATAATATTTAGTATTATATTGTCCAATATGAAACAATATTGATGTAGTACATAGAGTAGAAGGAAGTGTACTATGATACACTTTATAGTACATGGTAGAGATCGCGTGATAACTGCCCTTACACAACATTTAACGTGAAACAGAAGCTAGACACAATTATCATTATCTTGTACGTAACATAACATATACATAGTCATCATTTGCTTAGACATTTACTGTAGATTACTTGTAGTTAGTATATATATGTAGAACATAATTATGTAAATGATTATGGCGAGAATGATGCATAAACTCTTAAAAAATGTGTTCGACTCTCACGCGCATTATTCATTAAATAAAACTACTTCTAAGCGTTTATTCTCTTCATTTTTTCATGTATTTATTTACGAAACTCTCGTGTTATCTCTTACCTCATATAAATATCGTATATTAGTTCGTTTCGTTTAAAAGTATATTTTTTAATAATCTCATCAAACTATTCTAATATTTTAAAAAGGAAATATTTGATTTGTTTTTTTTTTGTATCGAATAGGCTCCGGAACTACAGGACCGATTTTGTAAATTCTTTCAATCACCGGTAGCTACATCATACGGGGTTGACTATAATTAATTTACGTGGGCAATGCCGCGGTAAATCAGCTAGTGGTATAAATAAAACTGTTTTGAATACATAAGCCGGATTGCACCTTAATAGCAGTTAAAGTTAAGGTTTATATCAAATTTGACGATAACTGTGGAGCTTTGGCTTTAACTATGACTCCGGAAGCGTTGGAACATCTCCATTTTCTTAGTCAGCGTTCTCGGTATAGGATACAAATAATTAACCAGTGATAAATAGCTTAGGTGGTCATACTTCACTGTTAAATTTATATCGACGTCTAACCCATGCCGAATGGTAGAAAGTTACTCGATGAACCGATACTTTGACATGTTTGTTATCGATAAAGTAATTTGTTGCTGCCAACCCTAAGGAATCTTTTCACAAACATGTAAGACTTCTTTGAACTGTTAAGAAAACCAGGTACAATAAACATCACAACATTTATTATTCATTAAAGTTTAATATTTGTTCGCGCAACATTGTTTTTTGTGAACGTTTCTTTAGTGCCTCACTGTAATATCACAATATTATGGAATATAAGGCAAATAACTTGGTCCCGTTTGCGTGACATGCCGGTGTAATAAAAACTGTATGATTTCCCAGGCGTCCTGGTTCCTAGGTGTATCGATCGGTAACTCCTACGGAATATTCCAAACTAGGAATATTTGTTAAGTGGTTACAAAAGAGGTCTGAAACCTTATATATTAGTTCACTTCGTTTGTACAAACAAAATAATACATTTTCTAAATCTTAATCATAGACATACAATTCATTTATTTGCATCACAAAATCAGCACATATGCATTATAAATTATTTACTACAAAAAAATAATAATCCTCACCGATGTAAAAGGGTAAAAGCTTAACGACTCCTATGCTCAGGGAGCAAAGCGCTGATTTTCGGTTTATACCCAAAGAACTAGCACGGTCTCACACAACAGCGTCACTTTAATATGATTTTTATATCTATTTAATTAAAATTGTATTTTATAGTCAAATATCACAAGTATTATATTGGAATATAATAGTAAAACAGACTGTAAAAATCATAACATAGTATTTTTTTCACAAATCACATGACCATGCAAACTTCGATTATGCATGCAGCCCCATTATAATAACCGATTGGGTTTTAATTGTCATAAATTAATAAAAAGCAAATTTATAGCATAATTAATAAATTTATTATTAAATAAGTAGCGTCAGTGTTAAAATATGGACTGAAAATTATAATAATTAATGCAAACGTAAAAAAGACCAAACAGTAAATACGCCTAGCAGCCCTAGGACATGACCCCTTCCGGCCTTAGGTTAAATGCGGCCCTGGACATAACGATTCCATAGAGGTCGTTAAATTCTATGGCGACCATTAAAGTAATCTAATGATAGAATGGCCCCAAGGATGGCCCCTACTATATTGTATATGTTTTTGCTTATTTATGTCAAGGGTTCCTTAAATTAGGTCAAATATCAGATATTTAAAAAGATATTGTATATAGAGTCCTTCATAAATATAGTAGGTGGTATTGTAAGCTCTAATTCCGGGGTGCGACCGCTAACTCTTTGTCTATAACTTTTCATTGATAAAGTCAATGAATATGTTCATATTTTTTTAAAAGTATTTTTTATTTATTTGTATATATTTAATATAAAGCTTTGGCTAATTTCAGTTTTCGAAATGGCTTTGATTTTTTAAATTTAATTTATTCAAAATTGATAAAGGTATATAGTTCAAACCACAACAATCGAAACCTATGATAAAATATGTCAATAATAAAACAAGAAAATTATAGAAGAATAGAAGCATTATCTTCGATAAGATAAGTTTTGCGTTTTTGTAGCTGTAGCTAAAGTCGTAGCTAGAGATCTAGGCGGTTGGGCTGCAGAATATACAGTTATGATTTTAAAATTTTAACTGTTTTATTGCCCGTTGCTCAAACGTCCATTAGGATTTATTGATGCCTTTGAGATCTAATGAATGTCGAATTTGTATCGGTAATGTCGCTTTAAACTAATGACAATTTTAATGGACGTTTGTGCAACTGGCGAACAACTGCAAATGTATTTCTAGATTGAGTTTATTTTTAACAAACAAAATGTGAAAGTGCCCTCTTTTCACAACGAAAACCCTAATCGTGATTTAATATAATATTTTTCTATGCGATGAAAAATTTCTTGAATAAATTTATGAAGAAAAAACTGAGTTATAAAATTTTCCAACAGATACGATATTCTTTTCTTGTAACCTTATCTCAATAATCGAATGGCTATGTTCATTTATAGAGTAAGTTATAAAGGTAAATAAATACCTTTAGAGAGTGATTCATGTTCACCTGTGAATGCCAAACTAAGGACTAGTGAATCAGTAATTCACACATACTTATAGGTATATATTTCGTTCGTAGCTACCGCAGTAAATTTCCACACAGGCGACATCACATGATGCATTGTAAAAATATATCAAAGTCAGACGCCG